AATTTTTATCCTCGCCCTTCTGTCGGACGCATGGCAACAATGGAATAACCAAACCAAATCTGCAACTCAATCCCTACCATCAAATTTGATCAGATGATTTACATGGCAGACGCTAGGGGAATTAAGGAAGTTCGCCACTCGGCTAAAGAGTCTGCAATATCAGGGCCACTGGCCGGAATCGACCACTTGGTAATGTCTCCACTTATCATATATTTTCCTTTATAACTAGTAAAATTTTATCACAAAGATACAGCAATTTGTCTTTAACAAATCTTTGCAATATGTTTGACATGGACTTATCTATTTTCACAAAAGATTGATTGATGGAGGAGGGGGAAGGGACAGGATGAAGGAAGGGACGGGGGAGAAATATCTGAAGGGATAGGGCAAAGGCAAGCTTTATACAAACAAGGTAGCAAAAACGACGAAGTGCGACGTAAGTAATATAGTTGAGGGTGCTCGTGATGAGTGGAAAGGGAAGTGGTGCTGGTTATGTGGAGAGGTAAGGCCGGGTGTTATGAAAAATTGTGCCGCGATTATTTCTGACCAGGTTTCAATCGAGAAGTTTGTGGGTGGAATGTATCACTTTGGTAGGGTGTCTATAAGTTATTCAGTTCTTATACTCGTTCAGCCAGAGATTATACCATACTTCACTTACAGGCACGTCTTATAAGTTAGTAAGATACATGATGATTGGTGGCCCATATATTGGTGGTGTGTTGCAGACTTTCCAGCCGCACTATTTTTAGTATCCATATCTTCTTCATTATGCGAGCCCCTTTATCCAGATTTATTAGTCTAGTGCCCCACTTTGTGATACAGTTTGACCTTTTAATCTAGCATATCAGGATCTTTTAACCCTATCTCCACATTTTCCTACCATCTGTATTCGTAGGACCAAGAAGTATGCAAACCCCATACTAAATTGATCTATCACAAGACGATAGACCACAAGAGAACTAGCTTGTCTTTGGTAAAGCTGCTGTTTCCTCCATCTATTCCCTCATACTCCTAGCACCATCGCTTGACTTTCCTCTTCAATCTCATCCATCTAAATTTTCTCCATCTGTGTGTTTTTTTTTGTGTCCCAAGATATGCATGGCCTCCTGCGTTGTCTCTTGTAATCCTTCCGTGTTGATTCCCCATGTCTTCCCCCGCGTTTATTTCTTATAGATTTCCTTTTGATCATATATTTTGAACATTCCCTTCCTATTGCATTTCTTTGAGACTCACTATTTCTGCATTTGCTCTGCAGTCTCTCCACCAGCATTACCTCTATCTGCGCTCGCTCTGAATACAATCCTGCGCTCCTCTGCCCTCCCACTAGGTTCTATCTGTATCCCTTCTACTTCTCATACATACCCTCCCTATGTTCCCCTCTATATCCCCTTCTGCGCTCCTTTCTACGTTCCTCTTTGCATTTCGTTGTATATTTCTTTCTCCGAGTCTAGCTTGCGTGCTTCTTATGTTCTTTTTTACCCATCCTATATTCTTTCTGCGCCCCCTCCACATTTCTATGTGCATTCTCCTATACGTTTCCTTCTCAGAATCCCTTCTAAATTCCTTCTATACCGCCATTCATATTTCCATTTGCATTCCCCTATGCGTTTCGTTCGTTGGATTCTTTCTGTGTCCCCTCCTCTGTGTCCCCTTTGTACTGCTTTCATATCCCATACTGTTGTGCCATCATTGACTCTCTTCTCTTCGATCCATAATCTGTTAATTTTGGAGCTGCGTCTCCTTGGTATATCTGTCATCGTATAGCACTCGCATGCAATGGCCTATTCTTGAATAATAAAATAGACAGATGAAGTGTGAACTTATACTTATCCTAATATGAAAGTTCTTGACGGTTTACTCGTGCAAAGGCTCGACCAGACTGAACTCTTCAATTAGTTTTTACTTGGTGGACTTCTTATCGTGTAGCTCTCGCATGCACTACCTGCGTATGGAAGTCAGTAAATGGAAGATGGGAGGAGTACTGACACTTGTAACCTTCTAAATTTTGTTGTACAAAGACTCGACCCTACGAAGCTGTATAATAATTATGGTCTTGGTGTGCCTATTAACGAAATTCTGCTGAATTTAACTGATGTCGAACTGCTCCTGGATGTACTTATAGTCGAACAATTACTTAGTAAACTTATTGTCGTAAAGCTCTGCATACGACTAGGCCCAAGAATGTCAGTGTGGTGTTAAGTTATGGGGAGGACTGTTACTCATCGCGTTTTTGGAAGCCTTCGTGTAGAGGCTCTATATTATTCATCGAAGAGATAGCTATTGTGTCAAAGTTACCAAGGCTACAATTTGCCAGGTACGAAGAGGAATTCTTGCATCACAGGAGGTTGTAGATCGTAACCCTGAGTGTTTTCCAGTGAGGGGTTTTAACGAAAATAGGCCAACTGTGTGTATAAGCAGGTTTATTACTGTAGGTTGTCGATTTTTACTTGATCGTCGCTGAAGCTTTTGAGATGAGAGTTACCGAAGAGAGCAGAAATTGTTGTACTGGGAGTGAACGAATCCTGATTGCTGCTGGATGTTCCGGGATTTTATTGGAGGGATTGTTATTATGAATAAGGGCTGTAATATTTGGACTGATAAGACCCTGATTACCTTTAAAGAATTTAAGATAATGGGAGAAGATGTTGTAACTGGATAAAGGGTTGTTATGCCAGAGGGTAGACAAGACCGTTCTGTCTGAAGTGGCCGAACGCCGATTGCCGCAGGAAATTAAGAGTTCGCAAATAAACGAGATACAGACTGAAACAAAAACTGGTTTATCTGGAATGACGAGGGCTATGATTGGATGTTATCTAACCGTAGGCTATAAATTTCATTCTCATTCCCATCTCGTGTAAAGGGGTGAGAGTGAAAGGGCGGCATGGAAAGGCATGGTGTTTTGTAACTAGTGATAAAGAAGTCGAGGCTTGCAGGAAGCTTGTATGATTAGCTTTCTGGAGAATGGGGGGAGCAGATTTAGAAGTTCCATTATTCGGGTTCGTTGTAGGATGAAACTTGGAGTGTCGCAAGTAGTGGGAATCGGGACCTCAAAGAGCACACTTGAAAGAATCAGATATTTCGATGGACTTATAGACTCGAGAACAATACCCTGTAGGGAAACTCCCGAAGTACAATCTAGGAGGTGAAAGTCGAAATGTTTCGTTGATGTTGGAGGTGCTACGAGTCTTGGCATCGAGTGGTGGTTTGAAAAATTGGGAGCGTTTGCCGAAAGATCAATATTAAAGTGATAAATAATATGGCGAGAGACAGAGAGATGATTTTGCAAGAGTGGAGAGTATTACGTGTGTTAGGGAAGTTGTGATGATCGGACTATGTTGAAGATCGCAGAATCGCCGCAAATCAAGAATCCTCGCAAATTGAGAAGCACCACGGGTTTAGGAGCGTCGTAGATTTATTCGGACTAGAGTCTCAGACGGCTAAGCGTTCAAAGGGTTGTAGATATAGAAGTGGTGTAGATCTGGAAGTTCCGCAGGTGCAGGAGCGTTGTAGGTTTATGAGTGTTCGAATTTAGGAATCTCGCACACACGAAGAACAGCAGATTCAAAGCACCACGAATATAGAAACAATATATTGGAAGAGCCGCGGGTTTGAAAACGCTGTAGACTCGAAGGGCAGCAAATCCAAAGGATCTTAGATGCAAGAGCGATGCAGATTCACGAGTATCGCGCAGTCTGAAGCGTCGCGGATGTGGAAACGTCGGGAATTCACAAAATCGAGGATATAATGGAGCTGCAGGTTCAAGGGAAGGTGGATCCAAAAGATTTGCTGACTCAGGAATATCGCAGATTCAGGGAGCCCCAAAATAAGATGTGTTGCTGATTTGTAAGGCTGCAGGTACAGATATGCTGTACATTCGAACAGCCAGGAATTTAAAAGGTCGTGAACATAGGAGCGCCACTTATTCGAGTGCGTTGCATACTCAAAGAGTTGCGGATGAGAAAGCGACGCAGGTTTGGTAGCGTTGTAGAATCCGTGCAAAGGGCCGCGGAAGAGGAAGATGATTTTCAGAGACTTTTTCAACAATTCTTCTGATGGCCTGAGTACTGGTAGAAAAGATCTGCTGATATTTTGTACTCTTGACGTATCATCAGCTACGATTGCCAACCTCCTCTTATCCTCATCGAGTTGAGATTCCATTTTTTCGACATTTTGTGTGACCGCATCTTAGTCTTCAAACAAAGTGGTTGTTGCCTGATGGGAAAGCTCTACCTTTTTGAAAAGCGCTGGGTATGAATTATGACTAGTTGTCGGATCTTTAAACTTGACATCTATAATCTCCATATCTGCGATGTTCTTCTTTGCAACAGATCTTATAACCCCAAGAGGTACATGAGTGGGTGGTGAAGAAGAAGAAGAGATCGGTGGAGGATATATTTGGATTTTATGAACTGACTCTATTTAAGTGAAATTGAATGCACAGATTAATTTTGTCTGTACCGGTGATATATTGACGATTCTTGTTATGTGAGAGAGCATTTTATGTGGATGCATATGCTTCCTTCACTTGTCCCACGAGCCATCATCAGTCTAGAAAATTTGATGTACATTGTGACACAAATATATCAGCTCGAATAGTGCTTCCTACTCAATGATCAGTGAGCATCCTGTAAAGGTGATCTATACATTGATGGATTTATTTGAGCTCAAGGCGCAGCTCTTCTCTCAAAACGGTGAGAATATAGTTGCGAAAAGTATCATTTGCACTCAACATTCTTACCATGGACGATATCAGTCTGAAGAGATTCTTGCCTTTTTTCTGGGAAAAAAAAAACCTCAAAGAACGTCTTGAACTTGCAATTCGTCACTTTAGTCGATGGTACTTGGAATCTTTCAAATTTCCAAGCTCACCTTTGTGGTTTGTTGAATAAACTAAGCGAGATAATCTTAAACAAAAAAATATATCCTCAAAATTGTTGACTTCTGAGTTTCATTACCTGCATCCACCTCCATTAACCAACCCTCAATCCAACTGCCAAACCATGATTCCAAGCAAAAGAAGGTATCTTCTTCAAGAAGATGGCGGTAATGATAATTACGATGGTAGTGGTAATGGTAGGCAGATCGAATTCGATGCCAATAATGGTATGCTTCGTAATAAGCGCTCCCGTACCAATATTTCGGGCTCCGGTAACGATTATCAATCTTCCAACGAGGATAGGTATTCGCGGAATCGCGCAATTCTTGCCGCGACGCACTGGCGTACCATTGGTGCAAGTGCGATGTTTGGTAGCGGGGACCTAGGTGGTCATAAGGTTCTCCCAAGAATACATCGAATTTCGGACTACAATATGTGGGTTTCCGTCCACGGATGGAAGTTTCAAGCTGGGGTAAGCAAGTTCTCATCATTTCAATGCCATAAATTCTATACCTTGTACAAGAATGATGACTAACTTCATGAATCTGTAGTATTGGATCCCATTCTTCGGCATCGCTCTTCACCATCCGCTAGCGTATCGGTTTACTTTTGGTACTACGATGCGACCACAATACATTGTCGGGTTACAAATGGCAAATTCGGTATTCGACTCGAGGTATCACTTCTCAATATCAATGAGAGATGTTGATAGAGGTAGCCAGAGCACGGGTGTAGTCTTTGTGCACTTGTCGGTAAAGAATGAACTCCTTCGAGACTGTCGAGAAGGGTACATTCTTGCCGACTTGGCATCAATGATGGAATTTCTGGAGTATTACCAGTCGTATCTGACCAGCTGGACCAACCGCAAGGTGCACCCGGATAGCATAGACGTCAAGTTTAGGGCATAGCTAGTAAAGCATCCTGAGCTGCCCCACCCGCAGAACCACGTCATTCCGGTACCCAACCACTCCCGTGGCAGCCCTGGTAATACGAATGCTGATGGTAGATCCTTTCGCTCTTCTCCTGGATCCGCACCTCCTACCGGATCCAGGTACTCAGCTGGTATGACAACTTCCGCCGCATACAAGCCGGTTACTGGTAGAATGGATCCCCCCAAATCCCAGCGTCCTTGGGTAGATCAGACCATCGTTTCTGGATCGGTAGCCCCAATCCTTTCTTCTGGGTATTCGGTCTCTCTACCGGCAATCACGGTAGCATCTGCGAGCTTTAATGATGCAAAAATCTCCCTTGGTACCGGGCCGATCGCAGCCTCGGTCACTCCAGGTACAACAGCTCTTTCTTCGTGGGGTAATGTGGAACCTCTGCGCGAGGAAACCACCAAGGCTTTCAAAATTGCGGTAAGTAAAAGGCTTTTGTGCCAGCATTCTACTTGATACTGATATTTCACGGACTGGTCGTCGCATGCGAGAGCTGTACGATAATAAGTACACCGGTGAAGAATTGATTGCGGAAGTTAGTAAGGACAGTGGTATTTTTGCAGCGGACTCACCTGCTGCATTGCCTTTGACAGTAAGCACTCCTTTCATTCATTATTTTGTTACCAAACCGCAACGACTAATCTTTTCCAACACAGATCCGCCGGTATTTACGAGAAAGACATGATGGTAAAGGTAGTAATGAGGAGATCTTGGCAGCTCTGGCTGAAGATTTTCTAGTGTTTCCCAAGGAGTTAGGTGTTGAGATGGTCATGTTTCGCGGGTATTGAAGATGGATAAAGTTGCTGGTAATCATGGGAAACTAGATCTAATTTATTAGTGTCGAAACCGGAATCTGCTGCCGGATGGACTTTAGAAATTAGGTAGTGGCTATAATTCAAGGTCATTAAATACTTTTGTATGAAAAAGAAAGAAACCTTTTTGTGAAATCAAGATATCGTCTTGTACTTTGACCTTTGAGAATCCATTTTCTTTTCCAACAGCACAGCACTTATATTCATGTATCTCCTCGAGATAATAAAATCGTGGCAAACATGTGGTTCAGGATTAAGCTTTGACGTACAACGGTGATATCCAAAGACGATACCTCTGCATGCGTAGATTTCCTGTACCGAAGGAAAATCTCTTCATCCTTTTCTTAGCTGTTGTTCAAGGTAATTCCCATTTCGGGTCCATAGCAATCACCTAAGCTTTTGATTCCCCTTCATGATGCTAATGGTGGAATTATAACTAGGTTTTTTTCCACAAGGTGTCAAAAAGATATTGATTGTTCACTTGTTTCTCTACCAGTTGATGTATCATGATATATCGGAAAAAGAATTCTCCAAGGATTTCACAGAACCGGATATGCTCGTAGGTTTTGCAAGTATTGATCTTAATATTAATCTCTTGAGTTCCCTCATATTTTTGGCAATACATAGGTTTTGTCAGATAGTTGTGATTAATAGACAAAAACCTATGCCATAAACAACATGGAATGAAATATTTTGGCAATCCATTATTCAAAGAAACTTAAAAGCCCCAATCACGGCCCCCAATCCTACAAGTAGAGCCATATCTTCGCTTCTCACTCCAGCTGTTCCATTAGTACTTTAGGAAAGACTGTGGTAGTTGGGGTGGATTTTAGAGTCTACGCTGCAGTACTTTTCGAGGCAGTCGCAGTGGAAGTCTGGTTTGAACTTCCACTTGAACCCCCTGTAGTATTTATGGCTTTGTCTCCAAATGAAACGTCGAATGAGTTCCCCATCAATACTGTCAACTTTGCGCTCTTAACCACATTTGCAGCGTTGAAATTTCCTCGAGTTTTTCCAGCCATTTGAAGGGAAGCTAGACTCATGTTCATACCTGTGGTATTGAATAATAATTGTGTATATCTATGAGTAGTTGGCGCAATATTTGGAGGGTTTGGTTGTAGATATGTGGCAAATGCGGATGTGTTCTTTACGTTGATCAGTTCGTAGATCTTTTGACCTCCAATATTCGTCGTGGTATTCGATGACGTGAGATCGGCTTGCATCCAGTGGAGGAATTGTGATGTATCACCCCCAGTTGTTGCGGGTGGAATATCGGGATCTACCATCATCACTGCGTAGGTACCACTCATTTTTGTGGTTGTACCAAGAATAGGAGCACTGGCTGTGTCTGGATCATTATTAGCATGCAGTCGCGATGCAACTTAGGGAAAGAATCTTTACCAGCTCGTAACATTTGGATCCCATTTGTTGCAAGCTTAGAGCCATATGCAACAGTAAGATCATTAGTTGAAGATGGTTCAAACCCAGACGGCGTGAAAGCTGATGCCCCGCCAGCGAGCGCAACAGTGAGTACGGAAATTACACAGAACATTTTGCAGCGAACTATACGCGTCAGGCTGAATTCGAAGCAAATTTGATCAGATGGTTTTATTAACATTTCAAGAGAGTGACTGAGTTCATATAAATGAGGGGGAAAGATAGACTGCAGGTGTTCTTGGCAGTTTGAGAAGCTAAGATTTTGCGGTGATATGACAATGTGATACTTCCAAGATTCGAGATGACGTCTCAATTGTAAAACAACACACCAAGATAGTTCCGAAACACCATACGTAGTAAACCAATATCAAATGGATATCTCAGCGTTTCGTAAAACAGATCAGAATTGTCTGAGACTACCTAGTACTCACCTCAGATAATCCCATAAACAATCAGATTGAGCTTCCGGGCGATCGAGGGGTAATATCTGAAAAATCATGACATGGAATGATTCAAGCACGCGCAGATGCCAAATTTCCCTTGAATTTCCAGAGTAGAAGCTTTCCGTATGGATTTGTACTAAAATCGATAACATAAAGGGGAGAGTGGGCAGCAAATGTTGGACCCAGATGTCATAATAGCACTATGGCTGGGGGCAACTCCTATCGGCTTTAGTGTATCATCCGACGGTTTTAGTCACGTGTCATGTCATTAATAATCATCTCAAGAGCAATGATACTAGGTAGTCAGTGTTCTCACATTGTTGTTGTAAAAAAAAAAAGGGTCAAATATATTGCGAAACAAAAAGATTTGGTTGTTCTAGATTAGGTTACTAAAGTTCTAAGGATCTTCAAGGTACATAGATTGTGATCCTTGGAACTTGAAGACCTCTCTCAGCATTCTTTTCAAGTTGATAGACTTCTTTAAACATTTTGTTGAGGACCTCCAAGCTTTGCTTTCTACCCAGCTCAGTACAGAGCAGATTATCTGCGGTGAATCTGACAGATTTACTCGGGTATATCAATATCTCCCGGATTCGACTAAAGTTTTCATAGGTCATGTAAAATAAAGATTGTCTTCCACGCCAGTAGTTGTTAGATAAAACGATGTCCCTGGTACTCAAATGTGCCTCACGAATCACCAGAGTCTGCATGTACCGAAATTGATAAAGCTTATAGCCACAAACTGGCAGATGCCAAAGGATCGAATCATAAAGGACGATAGGGGGCAGTATCGAGAGCTCATCTATTCTCGGATGATAATATATACCAAAACTTGGTCGGAAGTTATTCTCCGGAAGAAAGAGGTTCGTGAGATACCTGTATTTGTACTTTTCTAGAGTTTGGACAGCAGGAGTGGCATGATAGGTTTTTTGGAAGATATAATGTCGTTTGACTTCTGCCCGGCTTTCTCTATTAATCAAAAGCTGAATTGGGTTTGATGTTGTGACATGATTCTTGCTAAAATCGATAACCCCTTCTGTTGTTCTGCGGTACATACCAACCACAATCGTTCTTCTAACGAAAGACATTTGCCATATTTTAACTCTGAGCTCCGCAGGAAGTTTCGAGAACAAGGTAAATCTTTTTAGCGGGAGACTACCTTTTTGATTTCGCATTCGAACATCTCGAAATAGTCTCCTGTTTTTCTCTGACGCTGGTACCGTTCTCGAGATCGCATTGTCCATGGCTTGAAGCCTGAGCCCTATCCGAGGATGCGCACGTAGTGTAATCTTGTTATGGTAATTCTTGAAATAAGTCGACTTCTTTGATATCATGAGATTGTCATTGATGGGATCCAACGGGAAGAAGATTTTATTGTCAATCTTCAGATTCGAAAATAGCTTTATCAACAATTGATATTCTTGGTCCACCATTTGCGCCGCACTACTTTCTACAAATTCCAAAGTCTGTGTTGTGTGAAATTTGAATTTTACCACAAGTCTGGTCTTCGATTTATCCTGCGCAGATATTTTTAGTTTTGAAAATCATGAGACGTAAGGGAATTGAATTTGAGCAAAGCTTGGGAAGCATCTTACCGTGATAGCAGCACCAATTCCAAGCAATGAGCTCATCTCGGAGGATTTTATATCAGGAACGCCATCAGTGGCGGCTGAAATTCTGAAGAGATTCGAAAGATCTGTTTTTTCCTACACAAAACTCAATTAAGGGTAATAATCAACAGAGCAAGGAATGACTTACCATCTTTCGTCCAAGAGAAAGCATCAATTCCTTAATCCGCTGTCGCTGTAAGAGAAAGAAAATGAATCTACGATCTTAAAAGTTATTCTTTTAAATTGTTCTACAACATTAGATATGTCAAAAACAAGGGACCGTATCCAGAGATATTACGGGTTGTGCTTGTAAGTTGGATTTTTAACAGTACCATATTATCATTAGCTTCAAAAATTGGCGAGTAAGGTCTTTTAGTGTTCCGTAGCCTTTTTGAAAGCATCAACGATGATACCTTAAATCATGCTGGATCGTGGTAGTCGCTTTAATTTCAAAGATTCACTGTATGAAGCATTTTCCCAAGCTCAAGCGAGAATTCGAAAACTTTTGATTCGTAATGCGGATACTTTTCCTCAACATCCGAATTATGCCTTTTCTTTCTGGAAATGGGCATTACAATTCTTCTTCCTGGAAGTTCGCATTGCGAATTTTCGTCTTCGAATTTTGTATCGAGGTGCTTCTAGTGTCGGTGTGCAATCCACTTTGATATTTCCAATGGCATATCCAGGAGCCGTCAAGATTTTATCCCAGGACTTCATAAAGGCGATAATCCAAGTCCTTCTCAGGACTACACACCGACAAATGATTCCCAAGTTCTCCCTGCCCAATACCTTTCAACTATATCCGTGTGTTCTGCAGCTATAGCGGTGGCAAACTTTGCGATGGCGGACCTCAAGACCATCATGCTGATGGCAGATTTCCGTCTCAAAGAAGGGGAGAATCTCTCCACCTTCAAAGAGAGCTTTCATATCTCTGCAGAAGTGCTGGGATACCTCGCTATATAGATCTGAAAAGGAAACAGTCAATCCCAGCTACGATCAGCGAAGCCCTTCCACCAGCCAAGGCAGATAAAATAGCCGCCTGGCACGCTGGTCTGAAAGCATGGCAAAATCATGATCGAGGATAGCATTGCAAATCTTCATCAAATACAATATTCATGGAAATGGTAATGGGTTGCACGAGCGTTGCAGAAGTGTGGAAGAAACTCTGTGCTCATCATAAGGGGTCGGGTTTCTGTACTGAAGCTAACGCTACTGATGCTTGTATCTCTATCGAATATCCAGACTTTAGTACAATGGAGTAGTTCAAGATCACATTCAATAACACTGTTACTTGTTTCAAGAAGTTAAGTTTCCCACTTCACAAAAAATGGTACGCTTCGCGCTATATCAGTGATTTACACTCATACTAACCACAATAGACTCAAGGTCAGCGCTCGAAATCGACCAACGAATCCACACCTGTAACCCTCGATTTTCTCCCAGCCGACATTTTTAACGAGAGCAAAAATAAAGCCAAGACATCACACACTACATGCTCTGAACTTACGGCACATATAAAGGCCAAGGAGAAGGATAGAATTGGCGTAAGGGGTGTAATGACTGGACATTGCATGCAGAGATGGTTTGCTTGGAAGTTTATTCGAAGCTTAAGGTGACGTTCTTCAATAGAAAGGCGGCTACAGCTACCGATAGATCCAATCAAAGCAATAGCGACAGCGACAAGTTGGTTTGTATCAGGGAGCGTTCCAATAGAAAGATGGCATTTTTGATATCTGCGATGAATGTCGGTGTTAGCCTGCCAAATTGAGAGTGGAAAACTGATACAGGTGCATCCAACAACTAATTTTCTGATACAGCCTATTTCGACCCAGGTTCCCTCGTTGTATCCAGCGATATGCCAGTCATAATTATAGAAGAAAGAAATAAGGATGATCGCAGGGGATTATGGGAAGAACAATTCATTGAGTGCCGCACAAAAGGGGAATGAGAGGACGAACGGCAGAAACAGTTATTCTAGCGCCGCGAAAAGGATAGATTTGAAATGCGGAGCAGCCAATGCGGAGGTGTCAATACCTTGACCGCAACACAAAAGGAAAATAAGGTAGATATATTGAGGAGCCGATGCGTTGAGTGTAACACACAAAGATATTCAAGAGCAGAAAAGGACTGCATACCAAGCAGTAAAATTAGGGTTCATTTGAGATTCAAAATGATAAGAACCAAGCTCCGCATTCAGGGAGGATATCATGAGCATACTCAGAAAGCAATTCGTGGAGCGCTGTCTATGTAGATTAGATTGGAAATCGAATAGAGGTAACAAGAAGTGGATTTTTTGAATACCGCAGATGAGGGAACTCGAGAACACAAAGAAAGTCTGCAACAAGGAGTACAATTGGGTGAATTTGAAGATACAAAGGTATACAAGCTGAGCAGGATCATGGAGCGTACTTTAGGGTCGAAGTGTGATGTAGTACACATGGAGATTGTGAGAGAGGTAGATCAACGGAGCGATTGATCATCTCGAGTGTATGGGGAAAATCGGAGAGCCGGATCAAGGGGGTATATGTTACAGAGCCTGATTTCTTCGCTAGTAGAACTAAACTTTGTCCTTTGGACGTCGCAACCAAGTTTCTGGAGAGTTTTCATCAATCCATTAGCATTTACAACCATCTCGAGGAAGGGAGTCCTGCTATTCGTTGCCCTACAGTCGATTTCGATTTTGCCAATGCCACATTCTGAACATCTTAGGATCTCATGCAGGCTGCTCATGCCATGTGCATCTGCTACTGCATATGCGGAAAATATCAGAGAGTTAGTTCAACGGGCCAATTAATCAACCATCGCTTACGGAAAACATCAGGGACGTAGGTCAAAGGACTGATTGATTGGCTACTACACATTGAAGAGACCGAGTAAACAAAGAGATCAAAGTGAGTACTGCACATGAAGGCAACAAAAGTACATGTCATGTAACCAATCCGCCGAACGCTGGACATTTAGAAGAGGTGTGAAGAAAGCCTTGGAAATACCGAATAACCACAAGTGCGAAACTAAGTAACAAGAACTTTGTTCGTATTGAAGAACATCACTAATACTCGATGTTAGGTACCTTGGGATTGTTCTCGAAGCCAGTCACCGAAATGAACCAGACAAGCTTACGACACGCCTGCACACAGCGAATAGTTGAAGACTATATATCAGCCGAGTAGAATGATGGTTAAAATCGTCCGAGACAGATTTGTTACAAGTCGAACTTTATAGAGTGCCTGTGTTATATCTTGCTACATGGTGTTCTGCACTGAAAATTTGTCAATGATTCCTTTGTTAATCTATCCTGTTACACAGATACCTTTTCATGACCTTGATACGAAGTTTGAGAAGACGCTCGATCTGCGAAACCTTCGGCGGCAATAAAACAAGAGGGAAGGTGGGGATGGTGGAGAGAATCGAGAAAATTTCAGGTTTGGAATGCCTGGGAACTATCGGAATCGATTCATTATTTTCGTGGACTTTTATGGATTATAAGAATGATTTTTGACTCTTGAAACTACGCATTTTTCGACAGGCAAGTAACAATATGTCTGTATTCTCGGAGACCTAAACTATGTATGGAAAAAATGGCCCACATAAAATGGGAGTAGCTTACATATTCGCTTATGCTCAGGAGGATTTATAATGAGTCGGGGATAAAGCAAGGGTGTGGGAAAATCATGTGTTTCCAGGGGATCGACATATATAAGAGTAAGTAAAATTAGTTTGGGCATCAGATCCGGGGTACTTGGACAAGTTCTATAGCCTAGACACCGCCGTTGGTCGGTAGGTAAAGGTTATTTACGAGATCTAAGATCTGCGAGTACCAAACACGGTAACTGGAAGAGGAAAACTAAAGAATTAGAAGCCGAAAAGAGGCAGATGGGAGATACAAAAGAGGAGGAAAGCCGGATTTGAGTAGGAAGAGAGGGTTAGCGCTGTACGAGCTGAGAAAAATTTGACGATTGGTGACCACCGAGGGAAATTTGGAGAGATAATGTCAGATAGATAACGGTAGCTTAGGCCAGAATGTACAATACTCAATTAGATGTAAAGACCAAAGTAACCCATCCTATTGCTACCATACTATGATTTGACAGATCAGATTTAAAAGAATGGAGTTTAAACAATCCGATTCGAATCTACAATACGAGGCTCAAGGGGTGTCATATAAAGTCAAGATCTACCATATAAATTTAGTTTCAACCGATAAACGTATAATCTATCATTTATTTCTATTCATTACATTATTCATACACAAAATCTTAACTCTAAGCATCGATATGCTTCTCATTAACCAAGACATATCTGTATCTTGCTTTACCATCCTCCATATCAACAATAGCTTGGTTAGCATCCTTCATTGGAACATTGTTGTTCCATGTCTTAACACCCTTCTCAGCGAAGAGTGCCAACATATCCTTGATCTCATGTGGGGGACCAATGAGCGAAGCACCGATGGAAAGCTTCTTGAGGATGAGGGAGAACACTGATTTGTGTTAACAATGATTCTTGAAACCCAAGGAATAATAACTTACTGTTGAATCCAGGAATGGTATCTTCAGGAGCACCGACTTGGATGAATTTACCCTGATATCTGAGAAGGGTAAGGTAGCTTTGAAGTGGGAGTTTTGGTGAGGAAACAGTGCTGACGATAAGGTCGAGGGAATTTCCGTATTTTGTAGCCCAGTCTGGTTCTTCATCGGTAGCTATACATTCAAAAGTTAGTGAAATTTTACACTGCAACGAGTAAAGTTAGAATACTTACCAATGAATCTAGTAGCACCCATCTTGAATGCATCTTCCTTCTTGGCCGAGGTTCTTGAAATCGCTGTGATTTCATCACAACCTAAAGCTTTTGCACTCATGATACCGAAATGTCCAAGACCACCAATTCCAACAATTCCAACCTTCTTTCCTGGTCCAGCACCATTTTGAGCAAGTGGTGAGAAAGCTGTGATACCACCACAAAGCATAGGAGCCGCAATATCAGATGGGATTGAATCCGGAATCTTAATTACGAAATCACCACTTCCACGCCAGTAATCAGCATAACCTCCGTAAGATTTACTTCCGTCAGCCCATTTGCTGTTATAAGTACCGGTCATGTGAGCGCAGTATTGTTGTTGACTGAGGTATATTAGTATTATGCGTCAATATGATGAAGAGAAGACCTACCCATCAGCACAAGCTTCACAATCACCCTTTTGGTTCATACAAGAACCACTTTGAGCACCAACACCAACACGATCTCCAAGCTTAATATCCTTAACCTTTGATCCAACTCTAACTGCCTCTCCAACAATTTCGTGGCCGACGCAAACTGGGTAATCAGATGCACCCCATCCGGATCTCAAAGTGTGCATATCAGAACCGCAAATACCACAGTGAGTGATTTGAATATCGACATCTGTCTCTTCGAAAGGCTTAGGTTCAAACTCTTGCCAAACCATCTTGCCATTGGCGGCTTCGGCGTCGAGACCCATCCATCCCTGGAACTTGTAATCGGTAGACATTTTGAGGAGAGTTTTTATTTTTGATATTTTGAAATTAATGGTATATTTTGAGTCTTGAATAAAGAAGAGGATATGACAGACAAAACTTGGACGATGGATTTTATATCTACTCCCTCCATTGTGAAAATGTCATCGTTTGCCCCCATACTCGGAATTACAAATCTGGGTGGAGTCATGATAGGTAGATAGATAAGAAAATATCGGGTCCTGATTCGGAAATGTTGAAGTTTTAGGAATTGCGCTTGAGCCGTCGATAATGGTCAAGGATATGGGATGAAAAGTCTGATGCTGGAAAAAGATGGAATTGGCTGGAACTATGGTGATAATCTAAATTTGTAGTCAAGGCATTCGTTTCGTTATAGTCGGCACTTCAAGGGAAGAATTTAACCGTTCACATTTCTCTTTCTCATCAAACATGAGAGCAAAGGTGCAATGAACTCGCTCTTGTCCATGAATAATGCAGATGATGAATGGTTTTTTACCCACTCCGGTCAAGTATTTTCCTTCAAGTCTAAAGCTGCTCTCCTCTGTTAGACGCGTTGATGTACGTTTACTTACTGAGGTACAAAAATCCGTAG